CTTAAGTTTCTTCCTGTAGGCACTTTTGGCACTTTATTGTTCATCACAAAGTACCACCTAACACTTTGCCAATAGGAGCAAAGTACCTAAATGTACTGTGTTTTAGATTTCTGTTAAAAACGCTGCATGCGGCTGCGGCACTCTGTTATAATATTTTTTCACTTTGTTTGATATTTTAATTTAATTTATATTGATCCCTTTATCTTTCAATCAATTTTTGTTTCAGATAATGACGACTATAAACAATAGATATATTCAAATACAACACGGAGTGGAAAATGAAATTCTACGAATTCCTATAAGGGAAAATAATCAAGTCTACTTATCGATCATCAATCAAATCGTGCCCAATGCCACCCATGTAATAAAAACCGCATGAAAATCGGCGGTTTTACCGGTCCGGTTACTGGCTCCCATTACCGCAGAACGGATAAATACCGCGGTTTACCGCAAAAAATGATCCGGTATTCGCAACATGGGCCAGTTTATTAAAATACAAAAAAGATAACGTATGGTACACGTAAGTTAACCTTCCTATTTGCTATTATATGCAATTTGTTTTCATTTTGCCTTATCGTTCTAGCGTGGACTTCATCAATGGGTACCTGTGTCCCGCTGAGGGCGATGTTTGGCATGCCGATCTAATATACGTGCCAATATTTCCAGATTGTAAGCAACGTTTTTAATAGGAATCTGACATAGAATGTATGAATACACTGCGTTTTTCCGAGCATGATGCATAGCAGTGTACACTTTTATAGTCATCAAAAACTTTCGATTCTCTTCAGTAACAATAGGAATTTTTGCTAGATGTTACGCTAATTCTATGAAACTGCTTGTCAAATTTCTCCAATCTCTTATCCTTCGTGCAGCCATATACTCGATAGTGCTTCAATGATGAATAAGCACGATCTTAACAGTTTGTACTTCAATTGTGCTTCAAAAAATGTCTGAAATATAGTGAAACACGAGTAAAGTTGTACTTATGTTTCTTGTAATTCTTGAAGAATATTGTGAGAGTTCAAGAAGCCGATTTTTGAGGTTTCTTATTCGTTGTTATTATCTTGAAAGCACTTACCTATATAATCTTCATGATCTACCTTTTTCATATGCATCTTTAGCTTCGGTTTCGTCTCAACAATCGGCTACTTCGTCTCAACGATCAAAAATGTTTACTATGGACAAGGGTAGGTGTTACTTTATTTTGTACTGCATACATATTTGTTATGAATTGATTGTTTTCTATCATGTTAACAAAAAATATTTCTAAAAAGTTATGTCACTTTCTGATTATGTCGTTATCAGATTTCACCAACTTTAATCATTAATGCATAGAGAAACGAATTGCTCCACTCTATTATACCCTTTGAGACATTGATGAAATTCAATTCAAACATTGTTTCGATATTAATTTTTTTTAAATAATTTAACGAACAAGAATAAAAAGGAATTATGTTGATAGTTTTTTAATATCAACTAAAACAATTAATTTTAATTTTATTCTTTACATTGTTCGGAACATAGTTTATAAATATCGCATACGTATAATATCAATGTCAGATTTAGTTTTCAATATGAACTTGATATAAAATAAAACCAGACTTTATGTTTTTACACTGTAATGTTGATATGTGTCTATTGTATAAAGCAAATGGTTATATCTCATGCAGAAATCGATTTTAGACCGAAAAAACTATTGTTTTATCGATAATTCGATGGTCTAAAATCTTGACAGTTAATAAAATAGATTTTGCAAGAAACAATTTCTTCTTTCCAAGAACAGGATTCCGGAAAACTTGACTATATAAACCTAAGAAGATTTTCTATACTCACATCCGGTATTAGTATAGTCAACAATCCATAGCCCAGTAGGTGTCGATAAAAAACAACGACTTAACAGTTAAAACCGTTCCCTCATTAGTAAATATCTTTTATGTGTCGCATATACACTGTGAACCGCCAGAAATACGTCTTAATTTTATTATAAGTGAACTTATCAGATTCTTAGGGTTTATTTCGAGGTAGAACACACGTTATCTAACTATTTTGTTTCAGTACATTGATTTGTAATAACATCCAGAGTTGATGTTAAGAAACAAAACACTAACATACTTAATGAGATGAAATAAGAAGAACTCTTTTAGCACTCATCTGATATAGACGAGAACAAAACTGAAAATTAAAGAAAATTCTCTTTGAGGTCAATCATACTGGAAGTTTACTCCTATTACCTGAAGTAGTTCTTTCTAAAATGTATATGAGAGACATACGAAAATGTAGATTTCTTCTCATTGACTAAATAGTTGAAGACACATAGGTTACAATGATATCTAACCTAAAGAAATCCGCATGGATTATGCTCATCAATGTTGAATAGAGCTTTGAAAAACCTACCTACTGATGTAGTACAACAGCTGAAAAGGCAATGTTCGAACATGAAGCGTTGGATGCTGCCCGATTGAGCTGTGTTGATAGTCTATATCTTATAGATGCAGGTTATAAGAATTCATGTGTTTATTTTTGTATAAGCACGTAATGCTCCTTCGTTTTCCCGCTATCTCTCGTCATATTTGCCGTTATTGTTATTTTGTGTGATAATTCTTTTTCCAGCTCTTCTTTTTTGATAAGTATATTCATATCCTGTTGTGTATAATTGATAGGAGTTTTTCCTGTTTTCTAGAAGAACTTCAACATCTATTGGATTTTTTTTTCATATATATATAGTTTGTGATTTACTAAAAAAAGATCATAGCCTGTTGAAGCAGGTGTAAAAGAACTTATTGGAAAATATCCATTATACGTCATGATAGTGTCTAACTATGAATTTAACACATTTTCTTTATTTACGACAACGATTATACTGTCATTAGATATAGCACTTTCGAATAGTATGATTTACGCCTCGGTGATGTGTGTAATGAACTGTAATATTATCTGTTGCACATGAACATGACTGCTAGTAATAAGTTCATGACAAGTACTTCCGTAGTTTTACCGCGCACTCTTATCTTCATATCATATTACTTCTAGAGCAACAGATGATTTTCCACTAAACTGTCTTTTAAGAAAAACTTTTAATCTAAAATATTTCACACAGTGAAATCTAATACATTATGTATACATGTATCGTAAATAATGTGTTATTTACTTTAGATTACTCGTTTGGACAATGGTTATATCGATGGTTTACTGGAGAAACTAAAATTATTTAAAATTGGATTAGATTTTTTTAAATAATAAACGATACTACACTTAGAAGAAAGCGTTTTTCCCTTGTTGTTTTTTTATGTATCAATGATTCTGGAATAAAATATTGTATGACTAGGATCCGGAAAAAATTGCAATTTCGTTACAATGACAATGGCTTTTCAAAAACTTTGTTACACGACAACATCGATTTGCGATGACGATTTATATGATTAGAGATGGTTGAGTCGATGCAATTATTGTTTATTATGTGACGATCATAAATCGCATAGCTTTCATGCAAAATACGCATCTTTTACACAACCACAAGAAAGATAAGAAGAAGATGAAGATGGACAGAGTGATGTAGGATATCCTAGGTCAGAATTCGAGTATTTCCTGAAAGGATTCGCTTCAAAGAAATTTCCAGAAAAGGCAAACTACTTTCCAAGTAGACCTTGACTTGCTCTTGAGGATGTGGATCAGTGTTGCCAGATGTCAAAGTCAAAAATGCGAAATTTAAATCTAAAAATGTGGAAGATCTGGCAACCCTGAATACATATCACAATTCTTTTTCTTTTTTTTTAGTGAATCTTGCGATGATTTTTATGTCCGGGCTTATTACAACCATACTGACCAATATGTTTGGCATGATCAAAGTTTTTTGACCTGACTCGAATTCATGGCAAGCTTGGTTATTGCGATCGATCGAGCGTAACGTTTGTATTAGCCAGCTGCGTTTTTTCATTAATCTTTTATGTACAATGTAGAAATCAAAGAAAATGAAAAGATTCTTTTAAGTTGCATATTATTTTTGAACGATTCGCTAATGAAATAAAAAAATTTTGGTCGATGTCCAGCTATTCTTTATTTGACTAATTACTTTTACTCTTTGTCTACTCCATTGATCATTTATAACGGAGTGGTTAAGAATGAATATACGGAGAATATGAGAAAACAGAGAGAGAGAGAGAGATGATCAACAACAAAATATTTGTAACGTATATGAAATTAATAATATGTAGAAGCCAGAATGCGAGAAAAAACAATGCAGCAACGTGGAAAAAAATCAGAATGAAGGAGAATAAAGATTAATTGAAAAGATGTGTGATCTGTAATACAGATTACTTTTCTATAACTAATACGAGTCAGAACAACTTTACACAATAAATGTTTTTCGTTCATTGCTGAGAACCTGAACTTTATGAAACGAAAACGTAACTTCTGTCTGTAGTTTATTTGAAAAAATGACTTTCATATGTAAAAATACTATTCAATTTAAGATAGGCTTGGAATGCATAGAAAATTTTTCTATAACAGTATACGATGATAAAAATAATCTGTAAAAATCATGCATAATTAAATTTTACACATGCAAACAAGATTGATCGATTTTTGAACGTATGATATTTGTCAACTGTCGCTCTTTTCGTTGTTTTATACAATTTGTGAATGAAGTTAAGTCTTCCCAATTCTATCTGTTTAAGACAACAATGAGAATCCGGCATTCTAAGGTAATGATTTTGTCTTATTTTTTGATATATCTAACAGAACGAACGAATATGTAGTATTATGCTTTAGATATGTATTCAATGATTTTTATTTAGATTTATAATGTAAAGGAGAAAGTTATTGTTATTTCATTCTTTTCTCTCTTTTTTCTTTCTTTTGAGTATTCAACAAAAAAAATAAGAAAGAGAAATATCAAACATGTGTACGAACACAAACCAACATTTGCAAGACAAGCAATGAAAACAGGCGGTGTACAATAATACATAATGTTCTGTTCTATTTAATAAGAACGATCACGATGATCACTTTTTTTGAGCTGATCGAACAGGTCCGCCACCATTTTTTTCATTAGCCGGACCACTACGTCGTTTATTATTATCTTCAGATGATTGTTGAGGTAGTCGATCACGTCGTGGATTTGATACCGCTTGTTCTTGTCTCTTTTGAAGTATAGCAACCAGAGCTCCGCGTGGGATGGGACAATCCCATCCCATCCCATACGTCTCATGGGATGCAACTTTTTAAATAAAAGCTCATGGGATGGGATGGGACGGAAATATTTTGAGAGTCGTCCCATCCCATGGGACAAAAATTTCTTCGTCCCACCCATCGTCCCATGGGACGAAGAAATATTATATGAATCTATTCATTTTTACTAAAAATAGTATAGTCGTTTCAATATAGATGTCGTACCCAACTGTGTGAGAAAAATAGTTAAAAATGTAAACTATACGTGGTCAACTAGTGCAGCTATTTCGATTCAATGTAAAACAAAATATAATAATGAACTTACGCATAGAGGAAAAAATGCGATTTGATCTATTGAAACAGTAACAATTGATTTAGTTATTGTGGCTTATAACTGGTGAAATGTCTTTGAATAATTCGTTCCATGGAAAATATGAAAGTTGTACAATGATGTAACACTGAAACTTTATACTTTTATTTATTTTTTCCAGTTGCTTTTGTATTTAATGAAATATTTTCCTTTCTCATTTACTAGTTCTTTTCTCTATTTTTTAAAATGCTGTATTTATAACTAGGATGATGCCATTCATTATTGTAATATGCAAAAAGAACAGAAATTCGAACTATACTATAATTCGTAGTCTCACTCGATCGATGATAATCAAAAAAATTTGACACCTTAAAAAACATTTGACATTTCAGACGTCCCATGGGATGATATTTTGCGTCCCATCTCATCTCACGCGGAGCTCTGATAGCAATATCGAGAGAGAGTCAGCGATTCGAAAACTTTTATGTGCTAATTGCATTTGATCATCAGATCGTCGTTGACCATTTTCAGTTTTTTCAATACCTGAAAAATAGTAACGACTAGATGTATCATCAGTAGATACAATTGAAAAAGAAAATTGTGCCGCGACGACGTGTATCTGGATTAACTTCTTTGATTAATTGCGTTAATTCTCCTAATGTTGCATTCATCCAAGTATAAATTTGAACTTCATTTTCTGGTGTATGTCCTTGTTCAATTTCCCTAGATAAATAATGACGACTTTTACAACAAAAGGCACGTATAATAATGGATATGTTTTTAATCGATCAATAAATCGATCAACTTTGTTCACTTCTACAGTTAATTTTGTTTCAGCCATTGTCATTATATATTTCTTTCTATATCGATCAAAACAATCACCTAAATGATTAATTAACTGAGCATTATGCTTTCTAAACTGTTACATCTAAAGATTGACATGATCATCAATTTAGATTTCATCGTCCAGAAAATGTTATTGATTATATCAGTCCGATTTGTAGCAAAGCGATTATGGATACATATATTGTGTGTCAAAGCGAAAACTATCCATATTATTAAAGTCAATCTTCTGTTGATGAGAAGAATGTGCATAATAAACAAGGAACCGTTTTAAATAGCATTATGAACAAAGCAAATCATGTTACCTAAACCTAATAAATTAAATCAAATGAATTGGTTGAATTTATTACTGTTGAAGGTAGTTGACTCGCAGGTTAGTAAATGGAGCAAGTTCTGTACATTTTTTTCAATGCACTCTTTTATTAGTTGTACTATATTTGTACCCTTCACTGTAAAGTTTAATGACTGGAATGATTGTCGTGATTAAAGCACACTTTTTAGATGCAGGTATATGAAAATGATTTGTAGTTTTTGGAACTGAGATAACTTACTAAGAATGTGTAACTTTAGTTTTGGATTTAAATACTTCGTGATCTTTCTTACTTTATAGATATTTGTTCTTAATAGCACTATTTTTGCTTCAAATGATTTCTATTCAATGTCAGCTGATATTCTTCTTATAAAATCTTAAAACTACTAAATATAACAATTCATTTGCATCATATGTGGATGATTTGTAACAGAATGAATATGGTAATCAAATTTTTAAAACTAATTTTACCAATATCTTTCCTACATATTCTATTAATTTTATTTATTATTTTTGAAAAACATTTAAGTTAAATTATTTCATTTTTACGTTACCGTTGAATTACGATTCGCATTTTTGAAAAACGGCAAAATCAATTCATTGAAAGAATAATTTCAAGCAGAGGCATCTGTTCAAGCACGTTGATTTGCACCAAGCTTGAAAGGAACGGTAAGTGAAATGTATGTATGCCAATTAGTAATTCGACTATAATAATCCTCGCTCATTATAATGGCTCTTTTGAAAATCAAAGAACATTTTCGACTGATACTTCTCCTGGTTATGCAGCAGTTGGTGATTTCAATAACGATACCCGACTCGACATTGTTGGCACGAATAGTGGCTAAAATACCATAAGTGTATTTCTTGCGTACCCAAGTGACTCTTTTACGAATCAAACGGTTCATTCAACAGGCCTTTTACCATTATCTGTAGCTGTTGGTTATTTCAACGATGACACAAGATTGGATATCGTTGTCGTTAATACGAATGACAATACTCTGAGCATTTTTCACGGTTATGAAAATGGGTTGTTTGCAAATTAATTGGTATATGCAACTGATATTAACCCGCAGTCGGTAGCTGTCAGTGATTTTAATAACGATGCCCTCTTAGATATCGCTGTCCCTGGGCTCTTTGACTCAGGTGTTGTTATACATTTCGGATATCTTAAACAAGTTTATCTAAAACAAATCATTCTTAAAACTGGCAAAGGATCTCATCCCGTGTGGTGCGCTATTGAAGATTTTAACAATGACAGTAAAAAGGATATTGCAGTTGAAAATTCAGGCACACAAAAAACGTTGGTATTTTCCTTGGATACGGAAATAATTCTTTCGGAAATCAAATGACATATTCAACTAATTCGACTCCATGGTCTGTTGCTATTGGAGATTTCAATAATAATACCATACTTGATCTAGTCGTTACTAATCATGGTAAAGACAATGTTGGAATATTTTTTGGATGTGGTAATGGCTCCTTTTCACACCAAAATACTTTTACCACCGGCTTGAAATCTCAGTCTAGTTCGGTTGCCGTTGGATATTACAACAACGACAGATTATTAGACATTATCGTCACAAACTATGGCACCAACGACGTAGGCGTACTGATTGGATATAGTAGTGGTTCTTTTCGCAGATGCGAAGTTTTTTTTCATCTGGTTATGGATCTTTTCCGTTCTTGGTTTCCTCAGATGATTTTAACAATGATGGAAAGCTAGATTTCGTAGTCGCTTGCGAAGGCACTGGCAATTTAAAAACTCTCTTAAATACTTGTTGATGTTACAAGTTCAATATTCAGTTCTTTTTTCTTCATTCGCCGCTACTACCCTTAACTTAGTGATACTACTTAGTACTTCTTTTAGCTGCTTTCCTGTTTGTATGCTGATTAATTATAAACGTTGCACTAATGCAAGTACAAGTACTTTTTACTTAAGTTAAGATCAATATTTCACATGAGTTTATTGAAAGATTCAGCATTTTATTCGACATGCATCTCATCAGTAAGAAAATACGATTAAATCAGCAGTTATATATAGAAAGATTGACTCATAACTTGTGTGATCTAAAATAAACACTTATAGGGAAACAACATTTGTACAAGTTTGATAAGTATATCCAATAATGGGTATCGTAAAGAATAACATCCACCCTGATGCGAACATAAATAAAGATTCCTGAACAAAATACATATCAACATTTGTTTTCTTCTTCGTAGGAAATCCTTTTCTTTGTAATATTTCAAGCATTTTCTATTCATAAATATCTAATAAAGGAAGTTCTCCAAAAGTTCCATTGTGCTTTTGCGAGTAACAATTGTATGCATTTTGTAGACCGAAATAAGTTATGAATACCTTGAACAGAAGTCGCATGTTTCTCACTTATTGCTGCTGAAATATTGCACTTTTACGGTATCATCTAGTTGAGTATTGTAATTCTCCTTAGGGAAACTGAGCTAAGTTTAAGGTGTGGGTGGGTGTGGCGTATGGGTGGGCTGGGTAGAATCATTCCGTCAACCCACATCCCCACATACTACACACTCGTCCACACCCTTCTTTATTTCTTTGAAATATTTGAATATAAACATTAATTTTCTTAGAAGTAAAAATTTACTCTCTACAGTAGTAACCCTGAAATAAAATGAACTAGAAAAACTAGATGGTATTCGAGTTTCACTCGTATACGAAATGCGATGCGAAGTAGGAATCTAGATCTACAAAAAATCTTCAATCGAGAGAAATCTTGAATACTTTTTATGTCGACATAATGAAATTCATCAATGAGAAAACTCTATTCCTACTTAGCAATAGATGCTTAAAGATCGATTTCGATTGATCGATTAATTATCTCGATGACTCATTATCTTATATCAGCTGTCAATGAATAGACACTATAGTGGCTAACATATGTTAATGACGTCACTTTAATTATCTCTTCATAAATTTCTTTCATTTTTGTCATTTTGGAACCACATTTGTGAGTGAACGGACCTTCAGATTAAAGATTCGAAAACAGATGTAAAAAGTTCGCTCTTGATACTTCGATCTCACGTTTCAACGAGTTTTCTGCGATTTTCGGTTTTCGAGATCATCGCGTCACAAAATGGCGACTTGTGATGCATACGTCAAGTGAGTAAAAATTAAAAAATTAAAAAAAAAACTCGCGACGGACTACATAAATGCTTCTGCTTCGCATCGCATTAAAAATGATCATATCAACAGACGAGTATTTTGTTAATTGAGAATAAACTTTGTATAACACTGATGTGCACCTTTGTTGTATGTTTCCTTGTAGCAGCACTAAACATGTATTGAAGCAAATTGCAGATTGCAGAATAGCTATCAGTAATATATTCGAGCAGAATTTTAGTAGCAGAGAGTCGAACGTTCGTAATTAATAAACTAACATTAGTGCAATATTCAATGTAATGGACAATTTCCTAGCAGTTTTCATCTGGTTTGAATCGAACCGATAAAATTTGATTAAGTTTATCATACACACTTTGAGAAAGGTCGTAAGATAAGTTTCTTAAGTTCTCATCTAGTTTTACAATGATGAAATTTGAGAATGATATATCGATGTTCTATGTACGGAATTGGCGAAAACCTCCGTTAGTTGATAAAAGGCAGTAAAACATGAGCGGAAAAAAATGAAAAAACCATTGAATCAAAATATTTTGCCTGGCTGCAAATACTATTCGACAAATATATTTTTTAAAAAGTAATTTTTCTTCACGTACCATTTACAATGCTAATATAATTACAATTTTTTTCCCGTTACCGCAAAATTCTTATGATTTTAAAAAGAAAATTAAATATTAATAAATATAAATAGTGATTTGGTGTAGTACAAACCACTTGCTTCTTTTTCCTCCAAAACGTAGAGCATAAAAGCAATTCTCAACTTGCTGATGAATGACTAGTAGAATAATTTCAATTATTATTCATGATACTGTAGCAATGATAAGTATATATCAATAAACGATAATCCTTTTTTTTAATATACGTACAAGTAATTTCTAGTATCTTAGGTGCGTGTATTTTACATTTGTATTCGAAACCTATTTCGCAATATTTTCATATCTAGAATATGCATTGATTCGCCTTACGGCAATTGATCGGGTCCAATATCATCTATTCAACTCGTTTTTAGAACTGTAGAACATGTGCTAATTTACAAACTAAAATATCAGTTCATCCATTGAAAGTAACTTGATATTAGTTACACTAACATAAGACAACATAAAAGTGATAATGAATGTTTAGCTAAGTATGTTCAATAGACTAGTAATTGCATCGTTACTATCCTCTCGTGGTCAGTAATGTGAGAAGAATCGATTCGCATATCTCATAATAGGCGTGTGAATCTCATGTAAGTGAATCATCGAAAGATTTTGAAATTTTCAGGGCAACTAGCTCTTGACGAATAAACGAATTTTTTTTCATTGACTACAAGTTCTTGGATGCTATCTTCTATCAGCTATAGCGATTTAAATGATGGAAAATAGTCCCATGTTTCAGCTTGTTACCGTGAGGTACTTCGCTAAATTGATCTAAAAAGTTTTCTCAACGTCACTAGAAATTATTCTTGGTTACTAGATTATTTTTATTTCTCAACTGCTGAAATTAAAATATTGAAGTCATCATTTTAATTGCATGCTTCTTTTGTTCTTGAAAATATATTTTGTTTTGAAATAGCTATCAAAAATCATTAGAGCAATATCATCTCGATTAAATTTGCATAATCATGCCGGATAACATATTCAATATATGAAAAAAATATTTCAATTCAAACAAACGTACTATGTGAGCTCTGCTAGACGCACGCAAGCATTTCTATGATATATTTCTGTCAAAAAAACTTCAGTGTAAGACAAACGTGAAACACTGTCCAGTGTGCAATATTTCCATCACATAAATTTCAGTTCTTCTCGAATTTTTACCAACATTTAAACAGTATCGTTGTGTTCCTAGAATCAATCGTTCGTAAACTCAAAATTGGTCTTATTTGATGCTTTACATGAAATGATGAGATATGACAACCTTTTGACAGTATATTGTAAGTGTAGGATTCATATTTCATTTCATTTTACCGAAAATTTCAAGATTTAATTCGATATATTTCATCAATAAAAAAATTTGATAAGCTCAAAAGCTATATGTAGGAATATTGCATTGCTACTTGTGCAATTCTAAATAAAATCGTCGATACAAAAATGCGCTTTACGAAATTTTCATCACTATACCCAATATTGACAATTACAGATTCATAATAAAAACAAACGACTTCAACATATTTAACATCCAGGCTTCCATTGAGATAATTGCTGAATTGGTTTGAAATCTAACTCTTTAACAGCTGGACTATCGATATTAAGATTGAAAAAATTACAGTGACTGTCAGCATCAATAAAAAGTGGATCGTCTATGATGCTATTCGTATCATGATTCGTTTCTTGCCATTCACTAAAAACAAGTCTTCCAAGACCAAAAATCATCATATTGCCATATAGATTAAAATAACAATTATAATTCATGATAACCAAAGGTGATGAAAATGGATCTGGTGCTTGAACTTGAAATATCCAACGTCCACTTTCATTTACTATATCATAAACAATATTATGTTGAAAAGTAAACGATAAGTGACTCAGTGATTCACGACGATATAATGAAAGAGCACCATCACTTTGATTACTTGATCGAGCTAGAATATTATTTTGAAATGTATTATTGAAACCATAAATCATAGTGAAAGCAGCTGAACCCGTATTATAAACAATTGTATTAGTTATCATCAATTGTGAAGTTCCATCAGCTAAATAAACGCCCCAATCATACAAAAAATATCCGTAAATATCATGTAAAACATTATTTGTAATTAGTGTTCCATTAAGAAGACCACATGTATAAATACCAGCAAGATCACTCAATAGATATTGTCCAATATGATGAATATAATTAAAAGATATGCTATGATTATACGATGAACTTTCGTCATAACTCCTAAAATAGTCAATGAAAAACTATAAAAAATAATGATCGATTTTTCGTGCTATTATTTTAAATAAAATAAAAACTTACCATGACCAACCAATTTGAATAGCTGTATGGAAAAATTGATATATACTATTTTCTGTTATTAAGACATTTATTGTTGCGCGTTGTAAAAGAATGCCAACACCCATAGGAAATAAATGGCCACCATCATACAATGTACAATTTCTGACAATAATATTTTTTATCAATTCACTAGATTCACTTTCATTCTTCTTGGCTCCTATACCTATTCTCACACCGCCTGCTCCTAAATCATAAATTCTACTATTTTCAATATTAATGTGTTCACATTTTCGATCTATTTGTATCGCATAACCAGCTGTATGTGCAATTTCTATATTATTGAATTTAATTTGACTTGAATTACGTAAATAAACAGCAACTATTGATTTATCTAAATAATCAGCAGCTGCTCGTCCATCAATAGGAATAGTTTTATTGATTTTAGATATCATCCATGCGCTATGTTCAATTCCAATTGAATTCCATTCCATTTGATGTACTTTTATGATTGATAGAATTGTTTCAAGAATTGGTAAAATGATAATAGTTGTTTGCAGACTTTCATTTTTTCGAGGATGATAATATAAAATCTGTGTGATCGAATCAAAATAAAATGAACCCTCTTCATTTAACATTCCTTCATAAACATTTTCAAGATGAAAACGTTGACCTGACTGTTTAATAATCGATGTATTACCAATAACTGATAAACATGGATTAGAAAAAGTGATAGTACGATTTTGTGGAAATATTTTAGAAAAATAATGTCGTGATGCTGTATATGAATGATAAATGATAAATTCAGTTGTAGATGTTGAACTAAGTGTTATATTATCAAATTGGTTTTCGCGATAAATAAAACCTTGATAGGCAAGACGTGTACGATTATCAAGTCCTTTTTCATAAGTAAAATAACTAGTTGCAGGTAAACGACTTCGTGTAGCACGATGACCATTGACAAACAGTTGAGTAACAGCAGATAAAGAAACAGGAACAACACTATTCCATATCTTTGTAAAAGAAGAATATTATTATAATGCATAAAATATTTCCACATACTCACTCCTTTATCATTAATCCAATTAGTTAAATGGATACCTCCACTGATTATTGGAAAGTCTAATTCAATGAAATTTGTTTTCCTTGATAATCGAATTCGATTTTGTTCATCACGTGTCATTGCTGTATAAATTGTAAAATGATCACGTTCATCAAATATTAATGCGTGATGTTTCACAAAATGATAAGTAGGATACAGAGCTACACGCCGAAACGAGGATCGAATAATAGTACGAAGATAGTCACGAGCTTGTTCAACTGTTGAAAATGGATATTCCAATGTACCATCTTCTCCTCCGTTTAGTGGTGATGAAGATGGGACAACATAAATTGAAATTGAGAATGAAGCAAATGTTAAATTGATTATTAAAAACAATAAAATATAATAAGTAAACAGATGCATTTTTAGGCGAAAACAAAAAGATTTCTAACGACGATTGTTATCTTGTAGATGCATACGCAACAAATATGATAATGAAAACATGCCTATTTATCAAAGGGACGCGTATCCTAATTCAAATGTTGACGTTAGCTTGCTCACAAAGCATTTTATCATTTATTATTCTTCGAGGAGTCATCGGTATTTCGATATTTATTCAAATTCACGAATTTTATTTTCGATAATTCATCATATTCTTGTTTTGATGGAAGAAAGTCATTTTTCAACATGCCAGCTCTCATGCTTTCAATTTTATTTGAAATCAGTTGCTAGAATAAACAAAAATATCCGAATAGTATATTCCAATTGTTGAATGATTTCACTTTTTAACTACTAGTAATCTTCTAATAGTTGTCATTTGAATAAATTGAAAAATAAATGAATTTTCCGCTAATAAAGTGTGATAAAACTTCCCTATTTCGACAGAAATAACTTTCCTTAATATTTATAATGTCATTATTGATCTATAATATCAAATTTGTAGAATATTAAATCTTCGTCCCAGTAAAGATATGATAAAGATATCATCGATATTAATAGATTCAAAATAGAAAACCTCTAGATAATAAAATGTGCTGATTGACATAATAAGAGAAGAAATTATCTCATATTAAGAAAAAGATATACAAACTCCATTTAATATTGGGATTATCTATTATCAATCTATGATTCAATGAACTATTCAAAAATACGTTATCATGCGATTAGCCACATGATGCAGGAAAAAAGACGTAAGAAATATTTATTTTAACAAAGAATAACTATTGATATTATTGTAAGAGCAGGCCTTAATCAAGTTTTATTTTATTATTTGAGAACTAATACTATCAGTATGCTGAATATGTAATGGTTCAAATATTGCTTAAAGTTATTTAAGCAGATTTATAATTATTGCAATATTCTTAATTATTCCATGTATAATTTCCCTATGAAATCGTCATTTATAACGTTAATTTAGCCATGATACAATTAACATATATGAAAAGGTGTTGTCATGATCGCAAACAGTCGATTTTTGTGTATTTCGTTAATTGATTAAATTTATAATGATGTAAAAATTGCATAAAAAGGAGTACAAACATTTTTCATAAAGATTGTTTTGTATATTAATGGAAAGAAAATCGTCTTATAATTTTAAGCTAAAAAGAATTTTAATTCAAGAAAAAAAGCATTTATTATGAAAAATTTATATACGCTAATCTGAAACTATTAGATTATTTCTAACGTGTTAATATATATTTATTCATAGATCTAATTGATATACAAATCTACTTTACATCCAATAAACTAATAACGATAAATTAATAATTATATATATATATTCAAATAGGGAAAATGGATAAAAAATAGATAATACAAAGTTCAAGAAAAGATAAATATAGACAAAAAATGAAAAGGGTTCTACCGGTTCAACTCAGTTTTAAATCTATTGTCAAAACGCAAATTTTATATTTAATATACATATTAAGATTATTGTCGATTATCATATTATCCATAAATTGATTCGTCACTATAAACTACATAGAGAAATTTATCTTCATCCGCCTTAAATAAAATAAAATAAAATAAAATAAAAATTCGTATTTAAATACAAAGAAAATAACTAACATGTTCTTTGTAAAGAGCACCCATTGTCATCGATGTACTCGGAATAGTCTATGTGAAATAAAAAATAAGATGAATTATAATGTTACTGTTAAAATTCAAATTGAAAATTGATTTATGGAAAAAATGAAGTTTTGTTTGGTTTAAACAAAGTCATTCTTAAATAAAATAAAATCCTTTGCACTGTTTTATTCATATCCAATGCTGACGTTCAATTGCTTGAGCAAACTATTCAGCATCAACAACAAAAAAAAGGAATAATAATCGATTGATTGATGATATTCGTATATATATATAACAGATCATTTTTTGTTTTGAAAGAAGCGACAATCAGAAGTTATTCAGATTGATTTTTCAATATTCTACAAGTGTTTACTAAAATTTCGCCATTTGTTTGAACATGTCATAGAAAGAGAATGAAGATAAAGACTAGCGTACTATGTGCTATACACATTATAGGCTTGTACTGATGGAATCAATTTTAAGAAATAAGTACCAGAAATCTATTTCTTATTCAAATTACTTCTCGTAGATGATTTCTAATCTGCCGGCTATTATTTCATTAAAGTTAGAATCTCAAATCGATATTTGCTTTTATAAAAGTATCGCAATGATTTCATTTGTACATATTTAATATATAAATGACGCAAAAAACAGTGCCAAATTGACTAATTAAGTTAACTCTGGTTTTCACGCATCTCAACATGATCTATAATTTCTAATAAATGTTATTTTGTTCTTCTTTGAACAATATTTATTATTCGTACGTCAAGACAATGTAAATATTATGTTCTTCGATTTATTTTTGTTAAGATTTAATGCGCATTGGAAATCCTTCTAAAGTTAATGGAATCTATTCTCGACACTTTTTAAAAAGTTTTTCAATTTTTCAATAAGTAGAAAACACAAACAAAAACAGCAAAGTCCAATGGTGTAGATTTTTTGACTGACCTCAAATATATACTTGTTATTGTTTGTAAATGTATGCAAAGCTAAATATATGCATAATAAGTTGGATAACTTGGAGTTTTAGTGATTTTAAAGTCTTCTTGGAAATATCGAATCAGCATCTATTTCCAGACTGAATTTTTACGATGCTTAGTTTATCACTTTTATCTTTTCTTACATGCTTTTAAATACTCAGTATTCATTTTTAATGAATTTCATGAGTCATATATTAAGAAGTTAATAAGCATTCTTTGTCTACAAAAATTCAACTACACTTCTAATTGTTTCTGGTGCAATTTCGAAGTAATAATTATATTCGAAAGCTAAGTTTTATAGTTTTCGGAAGTCAGGCTTAAGGGTCGTAAGTGACATACGATTCAATAATAACCCTATTTCAGAAACTAAACTGTACTAACACTTTCATTTCATAAAGGAGATGAAAAATGATCAACATTATATTTTGATCAAAAGAAGAAGTCAAATATTCGATAGTAATACTCATGAAACGTATATAAATCACAAACAATTCCAAAAAAGAGGTTTTGATGGTTTTAGATAATGAGAAATCACTATTTAAAAAGTTTATTAGCACAGCCCCTTTGGGGCTAAAATATGGAACTCACATATATCCCTTAGGCTTACTAAAATAATTCAAAATAGTTCATGTGAAATATCTACCTTAATTTCCTAAATCTGTAATTAGGTCATTGCCTATTTCCTTGTGTCTGTAATGGCACCCTAAGCTAGTTACTATGGTCTAGCATTGCTTTTTTCGTGTAGTCTGTAATTAAAAAAGGAAGAAATAGCAGCCTAATTAGTCAAGCTCCTAAGTAGCACAACTTTTAACTCGTTAATGTCTGTAATGGGGAGGAGGGGTGGGGAGCCGCAAAAATCTCGCGTTTAAACTCACATATATTTTCGAAGAAAATGGTGAGTGTGAGTTCCACAAAATATTAATATAAATTTAAAACTTCTCAATTATCATCATAAATCAATAGTACGCGACAGATTTAAATGAGACATAATTACATAAATATACAATCTAAATAAATACATACATTATTGACAAAGAAAAATAGAGCATCCTCAGGTCGAAGCTGAATACGTTTACGAATCAGAAAATAAAATTGACCAACCTAAAATGTAACAATAAACCAATGGTGGTAAAAAAAAGTCGAAAAAGAAAAAGAAGACACACGGTGAGATCATTAGGCACTAAATATTTCTTTGATGGCAAATCTGGAATACGAGAATTTGGTGCACGTTCAACAATAACTGCACATCGATCAGGATATTCACGACGAATACGTTCGCCTAAAAAGATTCCTATGAAGTTAACCGCCGAAAACAGAATCGCTTGATTTTTGTTCAATATACCTTCAGCACGACGATTTTCATAAGGATTATTAATTTTAAATTCCCAACGCATATTTTAATCTATAATTAAATGAAATAAAAAAAATAAATTCTACAGAGCAATATTTGATATTGTAATGAAAGCAAGTGTGCCGCTTGATTTCGATCGAAATCGATTGTCTTTATCTGAGAATTCTCTTCTTAAATTTAATTTTCTTTTCTCTATACCACCGAAAAGAATAAGTTCACTTCGAGTATATATTAAAGAATAATAAAGTGACGAATGTGATGGACTACCAAATACAGATGTGCATTTTGATGGTAACCATGTAACACATGGATTCGATGAAAATATATTTGATAAGTCAAGTCGATACATTTGAAAACCACTTGATAAATCCATCATACTATATCTATTGTTAATATATGGTAATTGGGATCGTTTAGATGTTGTTGAACAACGATTTCTTTCATCATTTTCATCACTTGAACTGCTTGGAAAAGATGATGAAACAGTTAAGACGTCATCACGACTTCTTTTATCGCAATGAGAAAAATCATATTGACTGTATGCATGACGTTCATGTTCAGTTGGATGTCGTTTTAATCGACCAAATGTTATTAAAATATTCGATGGGGATATCATACAAAATGGTAAATAAGATAAATCGTCGTTACTCGGTGCAAAATCATTCGGATATTGATTATTAACTGCTATTTGTGTCCATTGATTTGTTTGAAAAGAAAACATCCATACATCACGGCAAACACGAGTTAAAGATGAACCTCCAACAATTAAAATATTTTCAGAATTTAATGTAAATTGAGAATGACCTAAAGAAGAAAACAAAAACTCGTTAAAACATATCGTTGAGTACATTTCCGTACTATACAAAAATAGTTGTCAACATTTTATTCCCTATATAGATTGATGTTTTGACCATCAATGTATATTTTCAGAAAAAATTTGATCGCACTCACATCGTATTAACGTACTCGCTTTTCATGATAAGAAAATAAGTAATGGAAACGTGCTAACTCGGATATTGTTAATGTGTTTGAAAGATTTTCTCAACTATTTTTTATCAATTTTTCTAGAACGATGCCGAAAAATCTCTTCTTGTATCCAAAGAGAATATTCAATAGAGTAATTGTATAGCAGAGTAATATCTAGTTTTTTTTCTCTATTTTTGAAGATCTTCTGTCATCAGTTCGATTATTCATATGTAAATTGAAAATTTACTATTATAGCTTCAATGAATAAATTTCTCTTGAAACAGTTCTAGTAAAACATTTAAAAAATGAAAGATAAAATACTTATGATGCACGGCTTCGTGAATCTCTTTTAAATATGAAGCCTTATATAGTTCATTAGATTAGCTCTCTCAAATATTATTCAAAGTGTAAGAAAAACTAGATAGCTGTGCAGCATAAACATCCTCCATTGTTTTGTCTCTCACATGCAGAACTTTTTTTATTATGAAAATTTAGTTAGCATCATCTTTACGTGTTATAATAAATAGCTCTGATCGAATTGTGATTATCATTTTATTTGTTGAAGAATGATGAAATCTTGGAAAAAATACTCAAAGTATTATTTTTATTATCGGTGTGTACTGAAAGAAAGTAGCGTACATTATTCTGTACGATGTCGAGATACTTTACTACTCACCCCCATGGATCGTACTAGATGTAAACATAGAAACATCATAGATTGCCACAAGCAATGCTGATATAAGACTGAAGACTATTGATTATTAGCAATTTTATAAAAAAAAATTAGGGCAAAATTATTTTTTCATTGGTGAAGAATTAAGTAGTGAAACGTATCTCAAAACAGAAACAATACAATTATCACCGTATAACTATCAATAACAAAGAAATTTCTTTCCTCATGTCTTAATTCTATCGAATTTCGGAAACGACTTTTATTCCTAGATCATTTTTTTTATCTTTAAATAACCTTCTCTTGGTTCTGGTCTGATTCCATCAACATGAATCATTGTCCAAGTATTTGTTTGAATATCTGTCCATTGCCACAAATCGTTTGTACTTTGAGGTGTTGCTTGTTGACTTTGATCGTTTGTTAGAGTACATCCACCAAAAATAATCATTCGTTTTTGATTATTTACAGTCACCATCGATGCACTATGGCCACAAATAGGACCAGGTTCATTAAAATTTACATGTAACTTCCACGAATTTCTTTCTAATGAATATGCATGAAGTTCATTATGCAGTTGTTTTCTCATATGTATATCATCAATATAAATCATAGAACGCCCACCAAATAATATTAAATTACCTTGTTCATCGTCAATAAATGTTGATGAACATTTTGGTGGTGGATAACTTCCTGTTGCTAAAATTCTTTCCCAACTAAAAGAATTGAATATCAAAAAACAAAACAAAAAATTAGAAAAGTGAAAATTAACCTTCTTGTTGATAAATCCAAACTCCAAAAATCATTAAGTGATGTAGCCATATCTCGATTACCACCAAATACATATAACATCCGTTTTGAATCGACATAACAAACTGAATGTGAAAAACGTGGCGTTAAATTAAACTTTGCTGGTGGATCAATTAGATGCCAATGAATTGAAACTGATGACGTTGATAAAGATAAACTATCATAGAAAGTATTCATACGCCAACTTTTAATCACACGCCAAAGTCTTTCCCATTGTCGACATACAAGTCGAATCGACGCATAATCTCTTTAGAGAATAAATAGAAAAATAATGAAATATATCATCTCAAAAGAATTTCTTTTTGTTATTTACTTATATGGTAAAAGAGATCGAAAAATGCGTAATAAAATTTCTTCAGGTAGATCCTCTATAGATCTTGAATACACACAAATATCGTCATTATGGCTCATCATTTAACGATAAATATTATCACCAAATAATCAGCTGATACTTTTAGTAATCGAAGCACATGACTAATGTATTTCCTACTAGTAAGGCAGTGATGCAACTATATTTATTTTTGTTGGATAAAATTTTCTCCAATGAGAAATTGTCATAGTTTTTGCTCTTGTTTTTTTTTGTTATTCGTCCTTCATGTTTGACGTCCATCTACTTACTGTCCCCCGCCTTTTTTCTCTTTATTGAAATCTATTTTGATTCATAAAATAAAAGTGTGGTGAATAAAAATTACGTTTGATTCTGCAGGTAGTCGGTCATTTTTATTATTTCACTATCAATTATAACCCTAATTTCTTTTGCAGAATTCAAGATTTGATATCAAACGGTGGAAAAGCCCTTTTGCATGGTAGTTATAAGTGAATTCTTCCAAGTTTAGTGTATGTGTTGATTTCTTGCAAACAGAATCAAGGAAGTTACTCATTTTATTTTTCTTCTTCCTAATCTTATTGCCACATTTGTAACAATAGCATAGTTTGTGTCAACTAGAATTACTTGCTTGTGTAAGAAGGATGAAAATAGTTGCTGTAGAAAGGTAGTATTAACTTGAAAATAAAAGTTGAATTTTTTTAACTGGTTAATAAACAAGAAAAAGAAAAAACAATGATCTGTTCGAAAAGATAGTCCCTTTTTTATGAATTCTTTTGTTGATGTATCATGTATTTTAGATTAATTCTGCTCTATTTCTGTATATATATATACTGTAAGTTTTTCAATAACTATCAACGAAAAAGAAGTATGTATTTATGCTTTGATCCACATCTGATACACATATGTTTAACAGACGTCTACCAAGTCAATCATTATAATATTGTGGCGTGAAGGTTTTCTTTTCATTGACAATTGAGACCATTCTCGAACGGTTCAAGGTAAGTCTAAAGAGCAATCAATTGTGACAAGGATGATCATTGTCAAACTTGACATCATCATAAAAAAGACGTTGTCGATCTTGACTCGCTTTTGTTTTCTTTTTTCTTTTTTCTTTCTTCTTCACATATTGAATGCACAAAGTAAGTTAAGCCAATGAATAAGAAGCGTCGGGCTCATTGACTTTCGGAGACGAGAAAAAAAAGGCATATGTACGACATAGTATGTTACAAAAGAGAAAAGTAACGACTGCGCAGAAAGAATAAGATTCTGTAAACAAGTGTTTGTTTTATCATAAATTTTGTTTTTTAGTAAACAAAAATAATGGCTGACTTTTATGAAATACTCGAAGTTACAAAAACAGCCACAGAAGATGAAATCAAAAAAGCGTAAGTAATACGTATAAACATTAATCTTTTTTTATTGGATATATATTATGTAAATTTTAGATATCGACGATTAGCTCTAAAGGTAACTGTTGTGTTAAATTATTAGAACATATTTTAACTGAACTATTTTAGTGGCATCCGGATAAAAATCTTACAAATAAAGCTCAAGCAGAAGAAAAATTTAAATTAATATCTGAAGCGTATGAAGTTTTATCTGATAGTAAGTAGAAAAAAAGAAATTTTTCTAGACAAAATCAAGCATTGATTTCATTTGGAAACCAGTATCAGCAGTAGTCGTTTATTTTTTTCCCCTAATAAAAAAAATATAAACAGGTCGTGGACGATTTTTATACGATCAATTGGGTCCATCAATTGTTTATAGCGAAAGAACAAACGAAGAACTTGAAGAATTATTTCGTACGATAATTGTTGATCAAGAATTTTCCAAAGTCTGTCAACAAGAATTGAAACAACACGAAAAATTTCCTCACAATAACTCTTCATCATTACTCAATCCAATAAATGAATATGATTATGAAGAAGTTTCAGTAATTGACAATGAAAATGAATTAAAACCACATATTGTTCATGAAATAAATATGTCTGTTCATTATGATTTCGAAATTGATGAAAACAGTTCAGATTTAAGATTGATTAAAAAGTATTTTAATATAATTAAACAAGAAGATCAAGATGTGCCAAAAAAGAATCGTTTTTCAAATTTAAATTTATCAAATGATATTGATCGTTTTATTAAAATGCATGATTATCTTCATCATTCACAACAACATGAAACAAAAACGAGCAAGCAAGAATTAAAAAAAACCCAGAAATCTATTATAAAACAACGCGAAACAAACAAAAATCAAAACAAACCTGCAATAATAACATCAGCAAATCAAAACAAACCTGCAACAATAACATCAACAAATCAAAACAAACCTACAATAATAACATCAACAAGTCAAAGCAAATCAAAAATCACAAAATCGACAAATCAAACAGATGAATTTGATTCGGCTGCTTTAGCTCACATTGTCGAACAACAATTAGAGGCTGCTCGTCGAGCAGCTTCAATGAAAAATTTTAATCCAATTCCAAATCAATCAGTTCGTAAACAAGCAGTTAATCGAGCAAAATTTGTTCAACCACCAAAATTGAATTCGAAACCAACAGAACAAATTTCTCGCCATCGTATTGATCATATTGAATTTCCTAAAACAACTCTCACTCGTTCTTTACGTAAACCATCAAATCCCAATGATGAAATCATTTCGAAACCCGTCGAATCAAAAACTGAACGACAAAAGCTTTTATTACTTGATCAACAAGGATTATTATTATCTACCATCGCATTAGGCGCACGAAAGATTCCAGATAATATTACATCGATTGAATTACTTGAAGTTCCAATTAGAAGAAAAAATGGAAAAGAATATCAAGGCTTTCAACTTGTTAGCTTTGAAACGCTTGATGATAATCCTATTCCTGAAAGTCCTGTTCTTCGCCGTACGAAATCAATGAGACAAAATAATAAGACAAGCGAAATACCAAATAAACGTTTGTCAACAGATATTGATAATGGAACATCACAAAACTTCTCTAAATTAGCTTCGCCGTTGAAAAGTATCAAACGTAATATGCATCATAAAAATGAAACAGCACTTAATAATAAACAAGTATGCAAAGAAGATATAAAAGGTAGGAAATTGTAATAAGATAGCATTGGGAAATTGTAAAACAGTTAGAATTGACGACTACTGCTGCTACTGCTGATAATTTTATTAATCTTGCTCTGAAATAATTAATATTAATATCTAATGAATTTTTGAAATAAATTGCAGAAGAGAAACGTCGAAAATACGATCAATTAGGTCGTGCTGGTTTATCGAATTCCTATGGTAATGGTTTTTCATCTAGCAACAGTTATGAAGGATTTTCAGAAGATTTCCTTAACCAAACATTTCAATTTCACAATCCATTCGATATTTTTGAACAGTTCATGTCACACTTTGGTATGGAGGATGATTTTGGTAGGTCAATGTTCTTTTTTTTCAAAACAATAAGCTCTTTCATAGACAATGAAATGCGAGCTTTGAAATATTGCTTTTTTTGCTTATTGTTTTTTTTTAGACATATTGAAAAATCATATTTTTCTCTCTGGTGAGAATACCAGAAGAAAAACACAAACTTTGTATTTATTTTTTCCCCCAAATGATGCTCGTATAATGCATGAGGTGATTTGGAATGTTTGATATATCCTTAATTAAAATATTAATTACTAGATCATTACTGTTTAGCCGTTAAATGTTTAACTATTTTTCTTTCTTTCTTTCTTTCTAGGTTTTGGTGTGAATCCATTTGCTAATTTACAACGGCATCAAAATACTCGAAACCCAAACTCGTCTACATCGAGACATGCACCACAACAAATGACATTGCTCGATAATTTCTTTTCTCCGATGAGAATGCCTGTATTTGATCATCAAACATTTGCTCATGGTTTTGGAGGAAATAATTTGGGAACCGTTTCATCATTTAATATATCCTATGGGTTTGTATATTTAGGAAAGAGTAATATTTTACATTATCTATTTATAGCGGTGGTTCTCAACCAATATCAAAAAAAACGACAAAATCGTCTAAAATAATGAATGGTCGACGCATAACAACTACAAGGTAAAAAAAATTCCCAAATACATTTTTATGCTAAAATATTTTTTTAGAGTGGAAGAAAATGGCCAAACAATTGAAATTGTTGAAGAAGATGGTCAAATAAAGTCAAAAAAGGTTAACGGAGTTTTACAATCTATTAAATAAATCACTGAATCATTCAGAACAAATAAAGCATTCGCATTCCAACACATATACAAGCATGAAACTGTTTCTATACATATGACATATTCATGAATTTTCTTTTTGTATGATTTATGTGTTGTTCAATCGAGGAATTTTTTTCTATTTTTCACGAATCGAAGGATATTCTGGTTTTTTCTTTTTCTTTTCTAATTACGACTAAAGTGCTGATGCTGTCCTACGCTCATCTGTTTCGTTGTGTGCCTGTGTTTATGTCTGTGCGTGTGTGTGTGTGTGTGTGTGTGTGTGTGTGCTTAGTATACGAGATATTTATTAAAATGAATCGGAAAAGATAAGCAGTAAAGTCAAATCAAAACTAACAGCAAAATTCTTTAACAGTTCTTAATTTTAGAGAACATATAATGAGCCAGTCTAATGACAGCACTTTGGTAGGTGGAACACGTTCTCAAAATTTATCTTTACCTATTGAATTATCAGCGGAAAAGATACAAGATTTTCAAGCTGCTTTTAGTATTATGGATACACAATCGAAAGGTTTTGTAGGAGCTGAAGATATCATTCAAGTAGCAGAAGCGGCAGGTATTTTTTAAAGAAAACCTGATGTTTCACTGTCTGATCTATTATTTTTTGTTATTAATCTTTGAAGATATGACATTAGCAGTGAATGAAGCACAACTACTACTTGGTTCAGCTGATGAAGATCATTCAGGTGGCATTGATATGAGAGAATTTATTTCAATAATGACGACGCCTATTAATACAGAAGATCTAGAAGATGAACTTCGTGCGACATTTCGCGTATTTGACAAAGATGGAAATGGAACGATTAATGCTAATGAACTTAAACGATTTGTTCGAGTAAGATAAAAACCGCCAAAACGCGAAAAGAGATTCGTTTTCATTATCATTTTTCAACCATATTTAGTTATGGGATAGTGAATTAACAGAAGACGAAGCTGATGATATGATCGTTCAAGCTGATCCAAACAAGACAGGTTCAATTACTTATGATGCTTTCATACAATTTCTTCTTCATACATAAGATAATGAATTAATCTAATCATTTTACTTTAGTTTTTGATTTAGATATATAATTTTAGTCATTCATCTATGAAGTTATTTTGATGTTTATTTTATTTTACGAATAAAGATTTATTAAAGAAACTTAGATATCTATGTTAATTAGATAAATATAATAACATTTTATCTAAATACTAAAATATCGAATATATATTTTGTTAATCATAATTAATAAGTTAAGGAAACATATCTTCAATCTTTCATAGAACGATAAAACATAATGGTTAGACAGATATAAAATGAATTCAAAGATTTGAATATGAATATTGTACTGTTAATTGATGTGAAGTTACAATTTTGGTGCTCGATTATCCAATTCAATTTGACATAAAAAATCTCTTACATTGAATATTTTTATTTCAAATATGTTGTGTTTTTGATGAATATTAATATTTCTTTATAGAGAAAAAAAATATAAAAGACGATATAGAACTATTCATTGGAATTCCGTCGCTGAATGTCGTTTTCTATCAAACTATCCCATCATGTTCGTGGGATGAGACGGAATACTGGAATATAGTTTAAAAGACGTTTGCTCTTAGACAGAAAATGAATGGTCGTCTTTGTCTTCTTAGTCTCTGCTTGAGTTGAAGGATTGCAGAATTTTCTATCAAAAATTTAAATAACTACTAGTACAATGTTTAAATTTTATGTAATCAGATTTTTTTATATTTTAAAGAACGAAGTAATCAAATAAGCTAGCTACAACTTGACTCGTCTTTCGGTTAAAGAAATTAAAAATCTAACAGCATATTTGTATGTATCTTGTTTATCAACTTGATAGATGTCAACTGATATCACAAATCATCAACCTTTATAATTCATAAAATTTTAAAATTTATTCATGATTAAACATAATTCAAAAGATAAATTCCATCTTTAGCATTGATTACCATGGAAAATTCACAGAGTTAACTGTTTAGAAATACATATTGATATAGTTGCGAACAATAAATCAAAATGATTTATTTTCATCGCAATGTTTTGAGTAAGAAATGAATTACAATTGATGTTATTTGGTTTTACTGTAAAATGTAATCATCATTCAATAACGAAATATACCATAGAAAGTTTTTTACTATATTTATTATAAATACTATACCCACAAACGGCACTAGATATCATTTTGTAGACCTATAGTTCAATCGTAGATTAATGTATTTGTTACAACCTGTTAGAAAATGTTCATTAAAAAATAGGAATTTATTATTTCAAGAAATGAGTTGATAGTTGTTGTGGATAAAAGTCAAAGTTAGTCTGACCAAGAGTCATCGCAAAACGTGAATAGTTACTCACGAACAAACATAATCAACTTATAACAACGGCCGTTTGAGGCTGTTTTGCTTATTTGTATGATTCATTAAGTAGAGAAAAATTCCAAAAGCGATTTATCTTATTGCCGCTTGAGAATGTGACTGTGTGGGTTTGAGTGAATGCGTAATTGAAGAGATAAATCCAACCTTCACAACGTCATTTACACCCATATTCATACTGAAAAGCGACCATCAAAAGTCTTGAAAATATCTTGAGATCACTGAGGGTGGAATTCTCTATCGATGGATGTGAAATATCTTATATTTAGCATAGAATTCAATCATCATAAACGTTCACAAAAATCGTAAATGTCCAAAGACAGTCGATCATTTAAAAAGTTGTATATCTACCAGGGCTGCTCACTTGTTCGCATACAAAAAAACGTTTTATTCAAAAGGCGAATTCGAGTTTTGTGTAGCAACAATTCTCTACCAAATCAATTTAGAATGCTGCCATTGAACAACCTTCGTGCTCTTAATAAAAGTTAAATCAACATGGTTCACACTTTTTTTATATAGATTATCTGTCAAATAGAATCGAATAATTCAGTGAAACCAAGTTTTGAAACGCTCTTTTAGTTGTCTTCCTGCGTTTTGCCTAAGATAAAGTTATCAAAAGATAAAACCAACTTAAATATCCTACGCTTCAATTCATAAGAAACAGCAAAATAATATAATGATAATCACAACAAATCCATGCTGTAGTTAAACAACGAGAAAAGCGATTGAACACAATTGTAATACGACCTTTCCGTTTCAATCCTATCATTTTCCTTCAGCAATACCATCAATATTTATATAACATTTTAGAATAGTTCTTTGCCTTCCATCAGACGCCACCAGGGTTGCCACCTCTTCCGCTTTTTGCGGAAACTTTCCGCTTTTTTACCTTTTTTCCGCTGTTCCGCTTTTTCGTATAAAACGTGTTGCATATCAAACATACGTACAGAATAATATTTGATATTATTGAATCAATTCTTATTGTTTACAAATACCGT